GACCTCAAGGTCAGTTTGAACTACAAAGTCAGTGGAAACCCTATACAGGGTTGCTATGTAACAAAAACAACTCTTAATGACACTTAATAACAATAGGTTAAATTAAGAGTGTAAATACATATTGAAATCCCTAAAAGATCAACCTATTTTCTCATTTCTTGATGGTCTGCTTTTTTGTTTTATGCTTTCTGATAGCTAGCAAGAATCCATGTATTTATGTTAGAAATGACTGAACTGCATAACTTTGCTCCTATTGAACTGTCTCAAAAGAGAGCTGGCCTGTGTTCTCACCTGTAGAGTTCTTGGTAGCTTGAGAGATGAGCCCAGGGTTGTGAAGTCTGTATTACTACCTTCTTGAGAAATTTGGGGACCTTGTGCCTTGTGTGGATCTGAACAGAGTAATTTCAGTGTAACCCACTTCCTGGACCCCCAGTGTGTATTTTGCATTCCTGCTCCTGTTCATTTCCCCATGAGCTAGCAATGATTGTTATGTCATCTCTCTGACATTGTGACTTCATTTAAGGACAGACTCATCTGGCCTTTTAAGCCTTCAATTCAAAATCTGAAAAGTAGCTGCAGATTTCAAGTGTTGAATCTAAAGAAATATGTGGATATTGAACTAATCCAGACCAGAATTCTCAACTGTCACATTGATCATAAAGCAGGAGTGGGACTTTTTTTTTTTTTTCCTAGCTTTTTGTTATGAATTGGGTGAAGATTTAGAGCAGATCATCAATTTTACATTCAATAATTCATACATATTTTGTTTTATATCGTTGGTTGCAGTCTTCCTCAATATAGTTATCACTTATCCCACTTCCGGAGTCCTGGTGTTGCGCTGTGGGCTAATGCGTCAGACTGCAAAGTTGTTTGAACTGCAAGGTTGGTGGTTCAAACTCACTAGCTGCCCCTTGGAAACCCTGTACAGGGTTGCTACCGGTCGGAATCGACAGCACTAACAACATCCCACTTCCTGTGTTTCCTATTTCTATTCCTCCTCCTTTCCTAACTCTTCTGAATTTTGTCCTTGGGTAAATGCTGCCCTTTGTGTCTAAAGTAGATTTTTTTTTGCATCTCACTAGTGTCATTGTTCCCCTGTTTGTTGTCACTGTTTGTTGTTTGATTAAAAATCGAGCCATTGGGGTGAGTTCAGTTTCAGACATTAAAGATGATTAAGGCCTAGTTGCACTAGTCTCTATACAGCCAATATGGAACATTTGCTCTTAGAATTGCCATTTGTGACCATTTCTTCAGTTTGGTAAGTGGGGTGAGCTTGAACTCCTGACCTTGAAGCTCAAACCGACCTTGCAGTCCAGCGCACTAACCCACAGTGCCACACCAGGATTCGGATTAGGTACTATTTAAATGATCAGACTCCTGGTGTGGTACTGTTGGATCAGCACTGAACTGTGAACCATAAGGCTGGTGGTTCAAACCCACCAGCTGCTCCTCAGAAACCCTACACAGTCACTATGTGTCAGTTTGTTGTACTATGGTCACTTGTGTGTTGCTGTGATTCTGGAAGCTATACCACTGATAATTTAAATACCAGCAGGGTCAACCATGACGGATAGGTTTCAGATGAGCTTCTAGACACAGACAGATGAGGAAGGCGAGATGAACTACTTCCAAATATTTACTTCACTGAAAACTTTATGAATGTCAGTGGCACACTGTTAGCACCAGATTATTGATACTGAAATATGATGAACAACACCAAATTATTGTCAAACCAGTGCAGAAGATTAGCCCCTCATGTTGAAAGGCACTCAAAATGCGACTGGGGAAGAATTGCCTCCTTAAAGTAGAGTTGACTGTGATGATGCGAATGGAATAAATCCCTTGGGACCTTCATTTGCTGATGGGACACAACTCAAAATGATGAAAAACAGCTGTAAACATCCATTAATAAGTGGAACATGGAATGCATAGATTATGAATCTAGGAAAATTGGAAATTGTAAAAAATTAAATGGAACAACAACATTGATATCCTACCCATTAATGAGCTGAAATGGACTGGTATTGGCTATTTTTAATCTGACAATTGCATGGTTTACTATGCTGGAAATTACAAATTGAACTGTAATTGCTGATTATTGCCATCTCCTCGAAAGCACATCACACTTGTAGAATTTTAGTATTTAGTTGTTAAGAAGTTCTAGAAAATTGTAGAGTCAAAGACACATAGTCTCCATGTCCTCCCTTTGTTTCATCGTAACAATATACTTTTCTCCTAATCATGACAAGAAAGAGATAAAATTAGGGGCAAATCTGATAAAAGTAGAAAATGAAATATTGGGAACTTTTTCTTACAGGGATACTTACTCTTTTGTTTCCTTAGTGTGTCAAAGTAGAAACACTTCTTACTCTGTAGGCCATTAACATGCTCCAAGCAGTGTCTTATCTCCCATGTAGAGAAAAACTTCACTTTTCTTAGTCAAAATATAAACCTTACACACACACATAACAAATCACCTTAGTTTTTTTTTATTTTAATTTTTAATGTTTTATTGTGAATTATATGATAGTTTACATGGGAGACCATCATTAGTTTTACATTCATCCTATTATCGTTTCATTGCCATGGTTACAATGCCTTCCATGCATCATCAACCAACCAAAAGGTATACCCTATAAGCCTGCCCCCTGTCGTCAGCACACAGCCCCTTTCCCTCAGTTTTTGATGATAGGTTCCCATTTGGCCCTGGCTGAAATAGCCTGAGGAAAGAATGAATGAACTGCTCCTTCTCAGTCTACACACACCACTCTACAGGACAGCACTCTAGGTTATTGCTACACTTGCACCTCATCTTCTCATCTTTGGTGCGTTCTTGTTTGACTAAAAAGTACATTCTCTAAGAAGTCCAGCTGTCTCTACCTGTGAATTATGCAGCTTCTACAATCATTATCCTAATTTGGCATTGAGGTCTTTTCCCAAAATATACTGTGATTTTGATAATAGTACATGCCACTCTTCACTGGATCTGCTATATGGCCAGAAGTGGAGTATTTTTCCAATTCTTTCAAGACACAACATCTCAAAACACACATGAACATCGGCATTGTGGCTGTTAAGGGCTCTCAAGCTGGTTCCAAACCATAGTGACTCTGTACAGGGTTTCTGAGGAGTGGATGATGAGTCTGAACTGTCAACCTTGTGGTTCAAACCAACCCTGTGGTCAAGTGCTTATCTTATAGCACCATACCAGGACTCTAATAGAGCATCAGTACCTGAGTACATTATTCAGCTATCTCTACTGTAATGCAACAATAGGAAGTTTCACTACATTTGCTGAAATCTAGTTAATGAAGCCATGATTTAGATAAGCTTCAATGAGGGCAAACATTTAGGGAATAAAAGATAGAGCTATATAATTTATTAGAAATATAAAATAAAATCCTTTAGTAATACTCAGAGTGAGATTTCAAAAATACAAATACATTGTAATTTGTACATAAATTTTTATATTACATAAAATAATGGTACTTTCAAAGTAGCATAACATTTAATAGCAAGAACAGTCAATTTTGTTTTAAATAACATTAACTCTGTCCATTAAGATCATTGTAAATATTCAGCCATTTTTATTAATGGAACTAGATCTTCACATGATCAGTTATATAATTTATAAAACCAGTAATAAACACTGTTCTTTACATGGAAAAATAAATGCCATTTTGACAAATGAAAAAATTTTAATGCTACCAAAGTTTCCTTTTTATTTGCTTCTTCATCTCATCTATTTTCTATGATCTAGTACAGTGGCAACCCAGTAATATTTTACATGATATGGGCTACTTTGGCATCTGCTGATAAATAATCATATAAATAATATAATTCTTAAAGAAAGGTTGAATAAATAAAATATATTGGATGGCTTTTCATCAGTTTGGAAATTAAACAAAGAAAACTAACCTGCATTTGTGGTCACATAGGATTTGCCATTTTTCTTCCTTTGGCCCACATGAGTATGTGAAAATAACTCATGGAAAAGCCTTTTTTAAATTCATGTTATATCTCTACAGCATTCCTAATAATGCTTATTCAGAAATTAGATTAATTATTTTCAATCAGGATACTGGGTTTAGTATGGACAGAAATATTCAAATGTTTAAAATATAGAGTTTTAAACAGCATATAAGAAATATGCAAGACAGTACTTTTTATATTTGAGATTTTACTATTTTAAAATTTTCATCTTTTGATAAATAATAAAATCATTGTTTTAAAAAATGATCTCAAAGAAATTCAAAAAAAATTTCCTTTTGTCTAAAAATCTTTAGAAAATGTCTACTTTTTATAAACTTTTTCAATTTTGGGAGAAAAGGTTCCAATAATTTAAAAACATGTATAGATACCCCTACCACTGGAAAAAAACAACCAACTTATCTGTTACACTGGTATTTATAACTACTGATATAAAGTGAAATTCAGAAATGTAAACTGAGTCAATGTTATTTCAACATTAAAATGTGACTTATATCCAGTATCTAAGATAGGTAAATTTCATTTTTCTCTCAAACTCTGTTAGCAGCTTGTTTCAGAAAAGAGCAGAGCAAGCGTGAGCTTCGCTGGTGTGCCCTGCTGCCGTCTGTAAAGCCATCCCTGCATCTCCCAAACCACACATTTTCTCCTGTGGGGGACCCTCTGTCTGCCAGCACAAGAGTTCAGTAATAAAATAAAAAGTACTCTACATATTTATGTATTTTAGTTAAGGCACTCTATTAATTCCAAAATAAAATTCATGATTTATTTTCATTTCTAACACTGAGGATGTTTCCTTTTTTTTTTTTCCAAACCACATTTTAAGCTCCTGCCTATGGCATATAAATCTAAGAACCAAGATGATCACTTGAAATTTAATAAAAGAACAAATGAGTCCTTTTCAAAAGATGAAAGAAGCAGAAATTTTATTCTTAATTCAACATCTTGAATGAAAATAAACCTGAATACTGTAATTAAAAAACCTCGTTGGAAAATTCAATTTACATAGTTTCATACTTTTAAACTGAATTGTGTACGTGGGAGAAGAGGTGTTAAAGTTGAATTGGAAGTTATGAAATGAATTTTTTTGTACCCATTCACCTTTAACTTCAGGGGGAAATGCCTAGTATGTACCATAAAGTAAATTAAAATCATTACTCCTCTGTTACAGAAGATTTTCTGGATTTGAGAACAAGGTCTTTAATGGATGAAGAAAGTTCCTGAAGTTCTTTACGAGTGGTGTTGGGGATATCATCTTGTTCTTTGCCTAGTTCATCACTCAAGGGATCATCTCCCTGCTCAGTCTTCTTGTTTTGACTGACCAATTGCTTTACAACCAAACCTTGATACTTTACCAAAAGAGTATGCTGATCCTATGAAGAAAGAAGAGACAAGAAATTAACAAGCATGACTTAATTTTCTGAAGAACAGCTTATTAAAGTTGGAACTGTTTAATCAATACACATTGAAGATCTTCATTTTTATAAAACACTGGTCATGTGAATTCGAGGTTAAGTTAAAAAAATATTGCTACTAGGGTTCCAGTTCATATGCATACGTATATTCCTAACAAAATGTGTTTAAACATGTTTATGGGATCAATGGATGGCTGCAGACAAGTTCTATCATTTGTCTTCATCTCATTTGTTGTTGTTAGGTGCCATCAAGTCAGTACCAACTCATAGCGACCCTATGCACAGCAGAACTAAACACTGCCCGATCCTGGGCCAATCTCACTACTGTTGCCATGCTTGAGTCCATCGATGCTGAGTATGTTCCAAGTATGAGAGACGAAGTTTGGCCATCCTGGCCTCCAAGGAGCACTTTGGCTGCACTTCTTCCAACACAGATGTATTGGTTCTTTTGGCAGCCCATGGCACTTTCAATATTCTCCTCCAACACCATAACTCAAAAGAATCAATTCTTCTATGGTCTTCCTTATTCACTGTCCAGCTTTCGCCTGCATATGAGGTTACTGAAAATACCATGGCTTCGTCTCATTAGGGTGCCTTCAAAAGAAATGTCTAAACACAATATTGGCTTCTGAGGGGATCTGCTGGGCTAGTTAAATGTAAGATACAAGGTCCACATGGAAAGTTATGGTGACTGATTTTTTGACTTGCAAAGGGGTAATCTTGATGGGTTTTCTCAAGGGACACAGGATGATCACAGGGATTTATTACAGGAAGGTATCTTCAGAAAATTAAAAACTGTACTGGTTGACCAAAAAATATTTTTCCATCACAACAATGCACCTGTTCGGTTTTCAAGGGTAACAAAAGTTGTCTTACAAGAATTTTGTTGGATATCCTTACACCATCCACTCTACGCTTCGATCTCATCCCTTCAGAATTCTTTTTGCTTCCTACACTCAAAGATCATTTAAGAAGAATAGGATTTGGTTCCTTGAGGATGCCAAACTGCTGTTTTGACATAATGAAAACTGAAGAGTGGACTCCTAGTGTGGTACTGTAGGGTAAGCATTATACTGCTAATCACAAATTGGCGGTTCAAACCCACCAGTAGCTCCTCAGAAACCCTATATAGAGTTGCTATGAGTTGGAACCATTCGATGGTACTTGACAACAACAAATCAAAGAGTGCAGAATTCTTCGGGGAAGGATTAGAGAGGTGGTTAACACCACCTTTGGAAATGGATAGAGCAGCAGAGAACTCTAGGCCCACAGACTGCATCTGCAGGCAGGAGACGAGCTTCCAAAATGTGCCCTTTGTATATTTAAATGAATATATATTTTTTGTTTTGTTTATGTATGTCAAATATTTTTGCTTTGTTCATTTGTGAAAAATAACATATAAAAGGGAAGCAAGAGGATGGAAGGAGGATAATTTAATACAGAGAGGGAAGTAAAATCATGAAACAATGTATTATCAATTAAAAGTAGATGATCTTGTTAAAAAAAAAAACCCAAAAAAACAAAGGAGTGCTGATAAACCTAGATGGAGGATATGTCAAAAAATAATAGCTCATATTTTTATATTTTTGTTTAATCAAGGTTTATATGATTTTTTTGGCAGTATTTTTTTACTTACCCTCATAGGAAGCCAAACTGGCAAGGTTTTTGCTCTCAAGAAGTAAACAGTTTAGGGGTATACAACATGAATACAGATCACTTCAAAGTAAGCTGATTTAACTAGGTTTTGTCACCAAAAATAGTCAAAGTGATATGGCCATTCAAAGAAGTCAAACTACTTTTAGTGGAAAGGTTCTCATAATAATTTGTACAGGACAAAGACTTCAGCTGCTTCTTGAAGGATAAGTTAATCCTTAATAAGCAGATAAGATGAAATGGAAGATTTGACATTCTTGTATCTTTTCCAACACATAATTTGTAATTTCAGAATGTTCTTTTTCATGTATCTTACAGGATCCTGTAAGATTCTTGAGTGACTCTAAGGTTCTAAAATCAACCCCTCATTCATTGTTGTCAGTCTTAGAGACAGTGGGTATTTACATCTATAGACACAAAATATTCAGTACCTAAAAGCTTTAAAAAAAGTTTCAAGTGTACTGACAATGAAGTACCTCTGGAATTTTACTGTTAAGAAACGCAATGATCTGTGGAACACATCTTCCAGGTGCATGGAGCATGCTGTGAGTTAAGAACTGAAATAACAAGACTGAAGTGAGGTGAAGAATAAGAGCTGGATCTTCTGAGACTTTCAGCTGTTCTGCCAGTGCTTGCCGGTGTTGGAACAGGATCTGTCTAAACAAAACAAAAAAAATCGACAGAAATTGAACATCATAAATTCTCAAAAATTTCAATCCTTTCCTATATATTCTTTAGTTTTACTGTAATTAATTACTTCCACAGCCTACTTACAGCCTTTGATTTCATGGTCTTCACTGTTACTTTTAAGTGCCATAGAGACGGTTCTGACTCATAATGACCCTGCATAGGATTTCGTAGGCTGTAAATTTTTGCAGAAGCAGAAATCCTCATCGTTCTCTCACAGAGTAGCTGGTGGGCTTGAACCAGCGACCTTGTGGTTTGCAGTCCAGTATGCTAGAAAAGTATGCTTTCTGTTTTGAGTTGTTGAGCTCAAACAGATCTGTGTTGATTTATATAAGGTTTCCTGAAGTACGGATAAGGAACCCTGATAGTACAGTAGGTTATGTGCTGTACTGCTAATTTCAAGGTTCTACTAGATGCTTTTTGGGAGAAAGAGGAGACTTTCTGCTCCCATAAAGATTTATAACCTCAGAAACCCTACATAAAATTACTGTGAGTTAGAACCAACTCAATAGCAGGGTATATAAAAGGAAGGATCCAAGGTGAATGAGAAGTTCCTGGATTTGATTAATTATGCTGTTAAGGAATTCTGGTATTCTAACAATATGGGTCCTGGTGTGGCGCTGTGGGTTAATGCGCCAGACTGCAAACCTGTTTGAACTGCAAGGTTGGTGGTTCAAGCTCACGAGCTGCTCCTTGGAAACTCTATACAGGGTTGCTATGGGTTGGAATTGACTCGATGGCATTAACAACAACAATAAGATGGGTCAGATAGAAGACCTAAGTGTTATAACTTTGAATATGCTTGAAAGCAAACAGCCATTTGGATACAACAGTTCTCTATGTAAAATTCAAAATTCATACAGTCAAATTCTAATTTCATATATGACATGTCACAATTTATAAATTTATAAGTAATGTATATTAATTCAGGAGTCTGGTGATCTTCTTCTGAAATGTCACTGACTTGAAAACCCTGTGGAACAGTTCTAACTTTAAACACCTGGGGCAACCATGAGCTGAAATATAGTTAATGGCAACTAACAATTCAAGGGGCTTCAAAAAATTAATAGAAAATGGAATTAAAAGATAATATAATTTTTCCATGATCTTTTTGAAGCTCCTTGTAAATTAAACTGATTAAATGCAATGTTACCTTTCTCTTTTTTTGTCTCCCCTTTTCACCATAATATCACAAGCTTCTGCTGCAGAATCCAGGCAAGCAAGAAAGTCTTCTATGCTCTGAAAGGTAATTAGCACCATCATTTGCTTTTTTATACCACTGCATAAGAAACAAAGCCATTTAATGCTATTTTTAATTATTTGTTAGCGTATAAGTGCTTTTATTTTATTAAACCTCTAGAATAAAAAATAAAATTTTAAAGGTCACTTTGCCATTGAATTAGATCTTATGATTTAGGACTAACAAGGGTAATGCGGCCCAGCTTTGCCTCTCAAACAGTTATCTGAATGCACAATACTAACTTCGGATTTGGTTTGTAATCATTTTGATAAAAATCTACTTGAAATTTTTACAACACAAACCTCTTGCCCTGATATCTAAATAGAATCAAACTTTACTTACCTTGTCATTCAGAGAGTTATTGAGTTTTGTGAGCGCTACTTTGGGTTCTTCTGATAATTTACTTAAAATCTTTTTCCTTACCTGTAGGGGGAAAACAATGTTTTGTGTGCCTTTGATGACACATGATAAAAGTATATTTATTACCATAATAGAATGATGAGTGGAAATCTTCCTTGTTCTTATATTTTACACATCAAATGAGGAACAAAAATGATACCTGTATAGTTCTAGAAATAAAATAAGCTAGAGCATAAGATCTAAGAGCTAGTCAAGAGGCAGTCAGCAAAGAGGCCAGATCCAACCCTACTCCTCCTTACTGCTCAAGCAATATAATACGATGATTAGACACACAGAGTCAGTGGTCTTGTGGAAAGCACAGTATTTGGGCAAAAGGCTATACCCTTGCTTTTCTACAGGGGTGAGGGATGAGAGAATGCTTCTTCTTCACAGAAACAAGTGAAGGGGCCTCACACAAAAAGAACAGAAATACCTGTAATATAGGACATTGAGTTCTTGCTCATGGAGGATGCTTTTTATACTACATGCACATTCTAGCATCCTTCTCCACATGCATGTGTCCCCAAAAATTTGGCGACACTATTGACCAGAGTCGGATAGCTGTTGCTAGTGGAAAATTTTCAAAGGAAGAGGCTACTGAAATGCTTGGCCAGTAGGCACTGAGAATGTAGTATATGGGAAGTTAGGGGGAAACTACTGCTGATCTTCCACATTCCCCACCAACCATGTGGACTTTGAAAAGCATGGAAGAAGACAGTTAGCATGGGGGCAGGACACAAGGAAATGTCCAGGCAGCTGCAGATTGGTTGCTTAAGCTAGAGAGGAAAGGGGCGCAGTACTTTGTTAGGGTTTATTGTGTGCTGTCAACTTGGTTCTGACTCATAGCTATCCTGTATAGGGTTTCCAAAGTTGCAAATCTTCATGGGAATAGAAAGCCTCATCTTTCTTCTATGGAACTGCTGCTGGGCTCGAACCACTGACCTTGTGATTGTGATTAGCAGTTAGTCCCTATCCTATAATGCCACCAATGCTCTCTTTGATGGGGTGCTAAGTGCTGTCATGTTGGTTCCTACTCAAACTGACCATGTACAGTCTCCCAGGACCAGGCTGAATTGTGAACCTTGTGATTAGCAATCATGTGCTTATCGTACAGTGCCACAGAGAACTATTGTTATGCAACTGTGAGCTGTAGTTACATTGTAAAAATGCAAGAGATGAGTTCTAAATACACTTTAAGATTAGGATTTAAAAGAATGAATTGGAACTAAGCCTACATACTGAAATGAGAAATAGTATGATTATATGAAAATGACTACAAAGTTATGGAATCTGGCCAGAAAGTTTTTAAGGAACTTGCAAATTCAGCAAGAAAAAGGGATGTGAAATAACATAACTTAAAAAATTGAGATGCTTATTTCCAAGTAATTAGCATCGTTTTAGTAAACTGGTTATATTGCCAATTCTGCTAACATCTGCAATATACATTGTACTAAAATTGAAGTAAACTAAAAATCATTTAAACTTTTTCCCTAAAACTTCCTGTATTTTATTTTCCTTTTGCACTATTTCAAATATGAGAAAAACAAAACATGCTCAGATTTCAAAACAAAACACATCAAGACTGACAAGCACATTAACATACTTCATTCGTAATAGTTGCAGGATCATCCACTGACATCATTAAATCTGAAGCCAGGAAGTTGAAAATGAGGTTCGTGATATCTGTACAAATGGTCTTCAGCAAATGCTTACTAAGAGCAGCCTGTGTATCATCTGTAAAATAAAGGGACTTCATAAAAATATACTCTGAAAAAAACAAAAGAGAAGCAAAAGAACAGATATTAAACATACCTGCAAAAAATTTCAACCCTTTTTCAAATAGCCTAATATTATGGTATAGGTTTGAAACTTCTTCTTGCAAGTCCTTGATTGTGCGTTTTCTGCCTGTTCCAGTAGCAGAAGTTGAAGACAAGAATACTGAACGTACCACCTCGAGATAATTTTTATTAAGAGGTCTGTGTACAAGACAAATATAGTTTATTAGGATGTACTAAGATTTATATCAATAAAAATCTTTTCTATGAAAATAAATCTTAAGAAAACATCTCTACTTTTTTAAACAGTAAGATTAATTTAGAAAAAAGTTCAAGAATTTATTTGCCTAATCCTAGGAACTATAATTTAAATTGTTGTTGTTAAGTGCCACTGAGTCGATTCTGACGCACAGCAACCCTGTATAGGGTTTCCAAGGAACAGCTGGTGAGCTTGAACTGCTGACCTTTTGGATCAAATCACCTCTGCAGTCCAGAGGATTACCACACAATGCCACACCTTTACAGTATTTTCTCAGTTTTAAAGAATCCAAAGTTAATGCACTAAAGACTACAAGAACTACAACAAAAACTCAACAATGCAAAACAGATTTTTAAAGGTAATTTGAAAATACCAAACTGAAAAACTAAACCCACTGCCACCACTTCAACTGGGGAGCAGTACACAATAAATCTGTCTGTTGTCATGAATTAGAACTTAAGCTATTTCCCAATTTTGTGTGTGTGTGTACAATGAAGCAGAAAAAAGGGCAATGCAGTATCAAAACTAATGAATGATAACATATACTTATAATAATGACTAGTATTAACTATACCTATTGTTCACATATAAAAATTTGGCTATGTAATACATTCACGCACAAAGAATAGTCACTTAAGTAAATATGTATGTATGAAAGCTACTTTCATAAGTACCATTTATAGACGCTTCCCTATTGGGACTAACCTGAGTGAAGCCTGTCAAGTTACACACAATTTCCTTTACTTTAGTACAAAATAAATTTAGCTTGATTCATTCACAAAGTAGTAAAATCTAAACCTATTTCGTGTGACGTCAGTTTGTTACTTTATTTTCTCCCTATAAGTAAAAATAAGGAGCCTAGTGGCACAAATGGTTAAGAGCTTGGCTGTTAATCAAAAGGTTGGCAGTTTGAATTCAACCAGCAGCTCCTCATGAGAAAAGCTTGACAATCTCTTCCATACAGATTACAGCCAAGAAAATCCTTTAAGTCAGTTCTACTCTGTCACATAGGTCATTATGAGTTGAAAATGACTTAATATCATTTAACAATAACACAAAAGCAGAAACCGTTCACTCTATCAAATGTTGCTTTTCATTTTGTGGAAAAGACTAGTTAGTGATCAGTTATGATATTTTTCTCCTTGACTGCAAAAATCAATGAGCACAAATACCCCTAGATACTGATATTTATTTCCCATAATACCTTATCTAAAGTACTTAACAAATGCTTATTGAAATATCTTAGTAACTAAAGAAAATCCAGAATTTTGGTGAGTAGATTAAATTCTAAACTTTGAAAAAACACCTAAAATAAATGGCTTCTATGATCTTGGTGAAAATTTTATCTGACTATCTACCATGAATCATAAAATATATTGTTATACTTGCTTTATTAAGTATTCGGCAAGTTCAGAAATAAACTCCTCAGGGGCCTCTTGTATGCGCTTCCTTAAAAAGTCTTCCACCTCATCCTGGAACATAAAAGTGATTTCTGGTTTCTTCCTTCCTGCAACAGACATTAGCAATGAGAAACAAACAAACAAGAAAATAGTAAGGTCCAACTAATATATGTAGCCTGAAAGAATTACACTCACTGCCTAAATAATTTTTATTTTTTTTTTTAATCAACAAGATCGCCAATGCCAAATAGTAATAATGTTTTAAAAAGTAAATAGTGACATTTCATGTAAGTGATATTTGTTTAACGTCACTTAAAAGTTACTGTTTTCTATGAATCAATCAGAAAATAATTAAGGAGATGATTCATTTCTCTCCATTTACTTGGATGACACAAGTATTTGGAAATATTTTAGAAAAAACTTTACATTAAACAATGGTTAATAGACAGAACTTTCTTTGTAAAAATGAGTATTTATTATACAAAAACAAATAATTCTTACAATTTACATAAGATCTTCAGGAATACTTGTAAACCATAACTCCAAAACTGTTCAAGCCAAATCCTTGTCTCTTTTCAGAAAAGGCACAGATGAAAATAAAACTCATAATTTATTTTTGTTCTAGTGAAAATCAGTCAATACCAAGGAAAATCTGCCATAATTGCAACAATTGTTAATTGCGGAAATAATATGCCTGCCTGCTAACTGAAGAAATACTGGTTGTAGGTAAAGCTAGCAAAATTTCTACTAGAGATTGCAAAGACCTAAAAGTAATTTATTTTCAGATAAATTAAGTTACTAATCCTAAAAGCTAAAACCTTAGAAATGAAAATAAGATAGCTCAAATATCAAACCCCATTATGCATGAAGCTATAAGGAACTGAGATTAGTTTTAGAATAGGTAGACAAGTATTATCCTTCCTCTTTCATTTGTCTTTCATTCCTGATCTTCCACACAAAATATTCTATGGTTTACCTGCTTGCTTCCTACATGCATTTTATAAATTGTTAAAATTCTACTTTTCTCTAGCAATCCTTCACACTAAGATGATCCTATAATTTAGCTGAGAACTCAATTTCATCCTCCATTTCAGAAATTACAACACAACCCTTTTACAACAGCACTGAAAAGTTACACTGTTTTGGTAGAATGGTTTTACTATTTTTATAGCCCCTCTCTTCATAATCTATGCATAAAAATATCACAAGCCTCGTTTAACATTTACAATTGGAGGCATTAGAGGGCTATTTTATTAAATGCCCTTTCACCTCATCTCTGGTACATTTAGGGAAAAGAAAAATTGACTTATCAGTGAAAAATGTAAAGCTATATTACCAAAGCCAAACCCAGTGCTGTCAAGTCAATTCTGATTCACAATGACCCAGGGACAGAGGTGAATTGCCCTGTAGAGTCCCCAAGGCTATAAAATCTTTACAGAAGCAGACTGCCAAATCTGGTGGTGCTGCTGGTGAGGTTTTGGTTAGCAGTTTAGTACTTAACCACCGCATCACCAGGGCTCCTAAAACCCACAACCCAAAATATGTGTTGCAGTTAATTCCAACTAATAGTGAACTTAAAAGTTTTCCAAGTCTATACATCTATATACAAAAGTAGACTTTCACATTCTTCTTCTAAGGAGTTGGTGGGTTTGATCTGCTGATATGTTAGATAGCAGATGGCCATTTTAACCAATATGCCACCAGAGATTCTCAAAACCTACGAGAAACCAGACCAAACTGCCTGCCATCATACTGATTCTGGTTCATAGTGGCCCTCTATCAGGTTTTCAAAACTATTCATCTTTACAGGAGCACACAGCCTTGCCTTTCTCCCTAGAGATGAGCAGCCCAAGGCCTAACTGACAGCGCTACTAGTTGTATGCCGTCATGTTAGTGCCAACTCATAGTGACCCTGTATGGGTTTCAGAAAGAGGTGGGTGGGTTTGAACTGCCAACCTTGCAGTTAACAACAGTTCAGTGCTTATCCTATAGTGCTACACTAGGGCTTTCTTTGTTTTATAAAAAAAAAAAAAATAAATAATAAAACAACATTTTTTCCCTAGCCTAAGACAGATGACTTTAAAGCCAGGATCTGAAAGAACTGTGCTATTACAAGTAGTAACCCAGTAGCAACTGACAGCATGCCAGGCCACGTGTGCACCACACAAGTTCTCTCTAGTTGATTTGTAATGAACTCCAAAGAAGTGATGAAGCATCAATCTTAAACTAGCATCACTTGTTTGCTAGGGATGGGGGATGAGGGTTATCATAGTTTATTAGGTTAAAATTTTTAAACAAAAATTAAAAGATCATAACTTCATTTAGAACAACAAAAAAGAATTATCTCTCCCACACTTAATGCAACTAAACACTAGGTCTAGGAAAATAAAGTTCCCTTTAATTAATTCTCTTACTTAAATATGAACAGTCAATCAATTAGGTGTTACCATAAAAATTAACCATAGAAAATTAATATTTTATTTAAATTTGAGAAATCTAGTTTTTACACAGTATTGCACAGTAGTGCAGGACCATAAAAATTCCCATGCAAGGTGAAACTGTGTTAAGTGTTCTGAAAACTTTTTCATTGGGAAAAATTATGATCTGTGACTTTTATAAATGTCTGTGAAAACACTGAAAGCTTTCCTACTATGAACACACAAAACCAAACCCAGTTACCAAGTCATTTCCAACTCATAGTGGCCCTACTAGGGGTTCTGAGACTAACTTTTTACAGGAGCAGATACAACCCTCTTTCTACACTGGAGTGGCTGGTGGGTTTGAACCACCAATCTTGTGGTTAGCAGTCCAGTTCTTATCCTACAGTGCCACCAAGGCTCTTTATAAATACACAAGGAAATGAAAAAATAAAACTAGCATTTGTAATTCAGTGGACTATAATTTAGCAATGAGAATGAAAGTTGTTTATTTCTTTTTAAAAAAACTTAACAGAGAATAGTTTGCATAGTGGGTTGCTGTCTTTTTCTCATCATTTAATTTACAAGCATCTTTTTTTCTGCCTTACAAACAGCCATACCACTCTAATTTTGGATCAATTTCCAACATTTTGTCTTTTGTCGTCTCAATGTTGTGCAATTATCTCCAAGAATTCATTTAATGTGAAGTTTTTTGCTGGATTCACTTGCTCTGGGATATCTGCATACTTTCTGTCACACCACGTTCTTCATTGGTGCTGACAGCATTACCATTATTACTAAGTTCTTCTGGCTACATACGAGTCTCTTTAATGGCACAGTGTCAACATTCTCAGTTATTTCTTCTATAACTCCATTTATAGAATTATAGAAGAATGAAACTCCAAATTTTATTTCCAGTTTTCATTTCTTTATTGCAATTCCTTTGCTGACCAATTTCCTCATGCAATTCTCCAGTTTTATAAAATGTTATGTGGGTCTATCATTGAGTCAATCACAAACTAAAGAAGTTGCCAATGGTCATGAGGTACATCTGCTATTTACATGGTGATTGGCAGCCTGAAGAGCTAGGAGCAATGTTTGTATTTTATACAACTACTAACAGATTTAATATACTTTAGTAACTTTGAGATCTGAACTGTGTTGTTGGGGGACTCCAGGCACTAACTGTGGTAAACTGAAATTAGTGCACACTGGAACCAGTGTAGCATAAGCGTATATACTTACTTACAAACACACACACACACATCTATCTATATCTAATTACATGCATCTTAAAAAACACACACACACACATAAAGGAAGAGCAAAATTACAAACCAGAGTGAGAAGACTGAGACTCATCATCACTATCATCTTTTCTTCCTTTCTTCTTAGTTTTTTTAATTTTGTACTCTCTGGCATTGCTACCACCTCCTCCTCTTACACTTCCACTGCCCTCTGGTAGAAAATTACAGTAGTTAGTATTACCTAATTAAATTACCATTTTTTCAGAAATTCATAACACTATATTGTTGTATTTAACTTTGGAGCAGAAAAATAAAACAGAAAATAAGAATTTTTTACCATTTTTTAATTTGGTATCTCCTGTTTAGGATAAAAGTTTAACAAGTTTAGTCAATCAACAAAAATAATAAACATCAAATCTGTTGATTTTAAAGAACACACTTTAAATAGATAGTCTACCTATTCTAAGAATAGATAGTCTACCTATTCTAAGTGCATTCTCTCCCTCTATTTGAACCTCTTTTCTGTAGCTTGTCTGGCCTTTCATTTGTCAAATCTATTTTTTTACCCCTCTTCTACCTTCCCCAAAAGAAATGTACTCTATTTGATCATTTCTGTCATCATATCCTAACTAGTAGTTTTCTCTAACAAGATACCTTCACCAACTTAATACTTGTCTCTTCTAGCTTTAAAGATCATTCATGTTTACAGGAGACATTCTGACTCACTTAACACTTAATCCAGCTTATGAGCTTCTTGATAGCAATGAGTAATGTGTCATTAATGTTTGGACTAGTGGATTGAAAATTAGAAGATGACAACAGGAGATGGGCAAGATCATATTAACTTTGTTTCAGAAAGGAACAAATAATAGCCAATATTTAAATTTTGATAATTACAATTTAATTAAAAAAGATCTACTTTTTATAACAAAATAACAAAAGATACTATATAGAAGTTAAAGCTAAACCAAGAAAATCCGAGTTTTTCCAAAAGGCCTAATAAGTGCAAAGTTCACTTAAACGAAAAAAACCCCTCCTCTTTGAATCTTTCTGTTAATATAATTCATTACCTGTAGCTTTCCTTCTTCGTTCATCTTTTTTATTTTTACTTGTATTGTTACTTTCTAAAATGGTGACTTGTTTCAGATCTTCTTCAGTGATTAAATGAACAGGGTTATTTTTCATTTCCTAAAATAAAACATACTTACTTTGAGTAGGCAAATATATAAAACAGAACATAAAGCTACGTTTTCTATTCGGATCCATTTGGCTCTGTTGCTCTGAAGAACTCTAGAGCTTTGTGTCAGCCTCTTCCTTTGCTGTTCCTGGCTTGCACCTATTATCAGCTAATGAGAAATCCTATATGACCACTGAACAACTGATTGCACAGCATCCAATGTAATCTTCTTCAGCAGCTAATGTTTACCAACTCGGAAAAGGTACTTCAATCCCCTTTCTTTAAAGTGCCGGTGAGTCGGTTCTTTTATTTTTGAGACTCAAAATCAAGTGTCACCAGAACACAACATTACTAAAACAACTCTATTCTCTATCCCTGACTTCACTAAATAACCCTATATGAGTTGTACATAAAGTCCTATTAACCTTTTTCCTCAGCACTGATTCTTTTAGAAAAGTTTGTGATATCAGCAAGGAAATAAGCTCAGAACTTGTTCTTTCTCCTGAGATAAAAATCCTACTGACAAAAGTGCATTTTCATGGTAAATTCTTTTTTGGGTTTTCTAAAGAAAGACGTTTGGAAATATAATCTTTTTATTCTGTTATGATTCAAGTAATAAAAGAAAAAAAAAAACTGATGACAATTCAAAATTTTTACTTTAGTAAATGTCTGTTGTTGTTGTTAGGTGCCATCGAGTCGGTACCGACCCATAGAGGCCTTATGCACAGCAGAATGAAACACTGCCTGATCCTGGGCCAACCTCACTACTGTTGCCACGCTTGAGCCCATCGATGCTGCCACTTGGCCAGTCCATCTCGTTGGGGCCTTCCTCTTTTTCTCTGACCCTCCATCTTACCAAACATGGTATCTTTCTCCAGCGACTTGTCCCTCCTGATAATATGTCCGAAGTATGAGAGATGAAGTTTGGCCATCCTGGCCTCCAAGGAGCACTCTGGCTGCACTTCTTCCAACACAGATCTGTTGGTTCTTTTGGCAGTCCAGTTGGTACAACACGTAAAAATGATCAAGTTCAGTTTACTAACTGGTCGCTAACATGTGCCAGACAATTTATATCCATCCTCATCTATTTACAAGTATCTTTTTGGAAACACGGGTTCCATCTATACAAAGTCATAGCGAGAAGTGGTGATATTTAAATTTAGGATTACTGATAGCGAATCTGTGTTTGCTCTACTCTTCTCTGCCGCTTTTCATGCCATACATAGAAAACATTCTCATTTTAGACTAATGTTGTTGTTAAGGGCCCTCAAGTAGGTTCCTATTCATAGTGACCCTGTATAGATTTTCTGAGTGAGGGGTGAGTTTCAACTGCTGACCTTGCAGTTATCAGTCCAATGCTTATCTTACAGTGTCACACAAGGGCTTTTTAGACAATTGTTGTTGGTTTTGTTAAGTGCCGTCGAGTCAGTGCTGGCTCATAGCAACCCCGCATAGGGTTTCCAAAGAGCAGCTGTGGTTTCCAGTCTGGTACTAATCCAACAACGCCACACTTATTGTTAAGTGCCATCGAGCCAGTTCCAACTCACAACCCTGTATAGCGTTTCCAAGGAGCAGCTGGTTGAGTTTGAACAACTGTCCTTGTGGTTCAAACTAGCCTTGTGGTCCAGTGCATTATCCTGCAGTGCCACACCAGGGCTCCATACAGCGCCACATTGGTGGTGGTGGTGGTTATGTACCATGGAGTCGGTTCTGACTCATAGCGATCCTGTATAGGGTTTCTGAGGCTGTAACTCTTTACAGGAGTAGAAAGCCTCATCATTCTCCCATGGAACAGCTGGTAGTTTTGAACTGCTGACCTTAAGGTTCACAGCCCGATTCATAACCACTACGCTACCAGCACCACATTGTTGTTGTTGTTGTTGTTGTTGTTGTTGTTATGTACCGTGGAGTCGGTTCTGACTCATTAGCGACCCTGCATAGGGTTTCCGAGGCTATAAATCTTTACGGTAGCAGAAAGCCTCATATTTCTCCCGCAGAACAGCTGGTAGTTTTGAACTGCTGACTGTGAGATCAGCAGCCCAATTTGTAACCAGTATGCTACCAGAGCCACATTAGAGGGCTTAAAAGGAGTATGAAACCAAAGCCACAGCCAGCAAGTTGATTCCAATTCACAGCAACCCTAGCTAGGATTTCTGAGACTATAAATCTTGACTGGAGCAGCCTCATGTTTGTCCTGTAGAGTGGCTGGTAGATTTGAACTGCCAACCTTGAAGTTAGCAGACCAACACCTAAACTATATCACCACTAGCACTCCTTAAAGGGACTACAGATAAACACAAATCTCAGTGAAACCTCAGAGAACTGTCACTAAACTAGACTGCTTGTTTTTCTGAGTCTTTCAATTTTTCTACCTTTCAAAGGAGTACTCATTTCAGTGGAAAATATTTTTTTCCCGGACAGGTTTCCACCTTGGTTTTAGCTTTTCCAAGTTTTACTATATTTGACAAATTCTTGTTAATCTATTACTAAGATAAGTGGGCTCGTCTTATCTACTTGAGAACAGACTTTATATATAAACAGTAATACCAACTAGAAAACATGCATAGTTCAAGGAGACCCCACATTGTCTTCTACTTCAAAATACTTTGACATCAGCTGCCATAAGGAACCAGTTAATTTTGATAGTAACAAAGTGTTTTTCTGCTTGCATACTTCAAAAAGGTAAAATTAATGGGGCCATTAAGATATAATAAACACTTAGTATATTGATTCATAAATATAATTTAATTATACACATAATCTATTTTTGTGCATTTTAATATTTTAAAGTAGTTGACTTAAGTGTATAATTTCATGTATACACTTGACTTAAGTGTATAATTTCATGTATATGATTTCATTTTAAAGAATCAGCTCCCCAAATTCTTACTTTTATGTTCTGATTTCAATCCAGAGGAGGAAAAAAGGAATGACATTAAATAAAATGATGTCTAATATAAGATGCTCATTTTGGGGTATACAATGTAAAATCATTTTTCCAAAGTCCTTACATGACTGTAATGTGAAAATACAAAAGGGAATCTGAATTACCTTTTCAGCTTTTTGGTGCATCAGTTCATTGAACAATTCTAAACTGCCATTTATAAATTTTTCACTGACAACAATAGTGTCGCTAAAGACTATGGTCGAAGCCTGTTTGCTGAATGCTCTCATCACTTGTTGAAGCAACATGGCAGCATCTTCAACTGAAAAAGAACTGGGTAGCAGAGGCTAGAATTACAAATAAAATAAAAATTAAGTATAAATGTAATATAACACCAATAAAGATAAACTATTTGCTATCTGTATGTTCGGGACATTGTTCCATTCTGCTGTGCATGGGGCCGCTACGAGTCGGTTCTAACTCGATGGCACCTGACAACAACAACAACAACATATTCTCTCTAGGTGATCTCATTAAATCCAGTGGCTTTTAGAACCATCTAGTAGCGTAGTGGTTACGAATTGGGCTGCGAACCTTAAGGTCAGCAGTTCGAAACTACCAGCCACCTCGTGGGAGAAAGATGAGGCTTTCTACTCACGTCAAGATTTACAGCCTTGGAAACCTGGTACAGGGTCGCTACGGGTCGGAATCGACTCGATGGCACTTAACAACAACAACATATACTGCTATAGCAGTCCTGGTGTGGTACTGTGGGCTAATGTGTCAGACTACAAAGTAGTTTGAACTGCAAGGTCGGTGATTCAAGCTCACCAGCTGCTCCTTGGAAACCCTATACAGGGTCACTATGGGTCGGGATTGACTCAACAGCACTTTACAACAGCAAATATGCTGATAATCACACAAATTATATTTCCAGTTTCATCATTGGTCTGAGCCATAGTAACATATATCCTTATTGCTGTTGCTGTTAAGTGCTGTCAAATTGCTTCTGACTTACAGGCACTTTGTATAGGGTTTCTGAAGCTGTAAATCTTTGGCAGAGTAGAGGGCTGATAGGCTCGAACCACTGGCCTTGTGGTTTGCAGTCCAGTGCTTACCCTACAGAGCCAGCATATTCCCCTAACATAAATCCTGTTGTTGTTAAGTGCTGTTCAGTTGATTTAATACTCACAGCGACACTGTATAAGGTTTCCAAGGAACAGCTGGTGAGTTTAAATCTTGTGGTTAGCCGTCCAGTGCTTTATCCTATTGCCTACCTAATCTCCCACTTATACAAAAGGGCTTGAAAGGCTTGTGGAAAAATTCCAATATCTTTAATTCCATTTCTCTAGGAACTTTGTAAAGCCTCCAACTAGGTCTAATAGGCATCTGTAATCTAACATGTTTGAAACAACACTCCTGCTTTGTAGCAACCTGCCTTGGACTCCCAGCCTCCATCTACTCTTCCTCCATTTTGTGCTCCATTCCAATTAATGGTACTATTTCCCACCTCAGCTGATGAGGCCCCAAACCTAAAAATTGTGTCGGTTCCCTCCTTTTTATACCCACAAAAAATCCACCAGCAAGTCCCAATTTACCTCCAGAATATATTTTTTCTTAGCTTTTTGTCCTCTCTTAAATGACCTTATCATTTCAATGAAAATGCCCCTCCAGAAGGCAAGAAACTTAATGTTTAGATATCAAATCTCCAACAAGTAGAATGGTGTCTGCTATATAGAAAGTAGTTCATAAAACCATTACATTTGGGATCTTTGGCATTTAGTGTGCTTTATATAGTCTGGGTCCTCATTTGTAAATAGTATATTGGCCCTTTGTTTCTACCTCTGCACATACACTTATCTTTTGAAATCATGAAGGCCAGGTCTACCTCGAAGCAAAGGACTATCAGTGCTAAAACAGATTGTTTTAATATGTTAGCATCGATTAACAGATAAGGGATTAAACAAATGCTTTAAACATGTCTGATGTTAGTATTGTTGTAAATGCTTGAATAAAACTAAGAAAAATGTGTCGATTTCTGTCATTTATATGGCAGGACTGATATGAGAGACTGATATACATATATAGATTTTTAGAATTCTGGACGTTGACTCTCCACATGTAGAATGTTGCATTCTACTTCAAAATTGAACTAGAAAGGTTTTAGCGTAAGAGAACGAAGATTATTCTTAGTTCAAATAATGTTCAAATAATAACAGTTATAATTTGCTTCTTTAGAGAAGACCACCTCTTTGTATCGTAATTCTTAAAATGGCCATGTTAGTGAAGTAATTGTTTGTCACTGGTTTAAAGAAAAAGATAAAACATACTGCAATATCAACCCATGTTCCAGAGCTGATGGCTTCCTCTACTGATGCTTCCACCTGATCCACAAGTTCTTGACCAACACAAGCAGCTTTCAAAAACAGGAGCTGTGCACTCTTATATCTTTTCTTTATGTAGCTGACAGCATCTAGGATTCCAAGTCTGGAGAGCGCATCAAATTCTAGAAACATATCATAATTGGAACAGGCCAAAAGAATTGTTGATTACTCACACCTTTTTGCAGAAATCCTACAAAAAAGTTAAATTCTAACAAAGCTTATTCTTTGATTGCAAATATACTGTATCTAATCTGTTTTTAGGAATAAAGGATAAAGATATACCACAGTCTATTCACTGCTTATCTTTCTAAATTTTTAATACTAAAAAAATGAGTTCAAGTACAACTTCAATACTACTAGCTTTGTCACTCCCTCTCCAAATGAGGGAGTCCAAGATCCACCATAATCTGTTGGCCAACAGTAAATGAAGCACATAAGGGTTTCCAGGGTTACTACAATACCTTCTAAAAATGTGGTATTACCAATGTGTTTTAGTTTCATAGAAAAGCAAAATAGTTACCTAGATAGCCATTCTGCCTGAAAAAGGAATCCACCCAAGTACTTTGTGTTCTGGAGTAGATGTCAGGGACAAACAGAGCCTTGTCCTGTCTCCCACCAACCACAGTGCCTCTTACACGTCCACTATTTACAAGTTCCTCAAGCACAGCTTAAAACAAAAGCACACAAATACAAAAAAATCAGAGCAGGCATAAATCTCAAAAAGTTAAATATTTTATTTTATAATTTAGCTATAGGATAAACACTAGATATGTTAGAATCAGCCATGTAAAACAAAGCCATGAATATTTTTATAAGTTATTAAATTTCCACTGTTTAAACACAAACATCACATTTGGGTTAAGCATTGGGCTGCTAACCAAAATGTTGGCAGTTCAAATTCACCAGCTGCTCTGAAGGAAAAAGACAGGACAGTCTGCTTCTATAAAGCTCTGCAGCCCCGGAAACCCTGAGGAACAGTTCTACTCTAATAGGGTTGCTGTGAGTCGGAATTGACTCCACAGCAGTGAAATAAGAGTTTGGATTCTGGAACCAGACAGGTTAACTCAAAACCGCAACTTTGCTGCTCTCTAGTTGTAAAAAGCTGTTCAAATCTTTTAACTTAGTCTCCATTTTCTTATCCTTGAAATAAGAACAACACCATTTTAATTTTCAGTTTGCTTTAAACAAGAAAATTTTATTTTTAATTCAATGTTCATATTCTGGAAAAAAAGTGAATGAATACGTATTTTGTTTCTATGTTGATTTTCTTTTCCATTCTTTATTTTTGTGTGGATATTTGCACAGACATACGAGTCAGAAGACTTAAATCAATGCTTTTAAAAATTATTTCAGAAACGCTTGTTGTTTGTTTGCCATGAAATGGATTAGCTGATTTTGATTCACAGGACAGGACAGAACTTTCTCATAGGGTTTTCTAGGCTATAATCTTTACAGAACAGAGAACCAGGTCTTTTCTTCACTGAAACAGCTAGTGGGTTTAAGCCACCCACCTCTGAGTTATCAGCCAAGCTCCTAATCACTGTGTCATCAGGGCATGTTCCAGAAAAGCTTAAAAACACCACACACACAAAAGAACCCAAGCCTCCTAAGAGCATCACAACATATAGTCAGATAGACACTGAATTAAGATTATTTGGGGTATATTACTATGTTGTTAGAATGCAAGTCATACGTTTTTATTGCTATGAATGCTTCGAAAAACATCTTTCAGTAATTAAACAAATATGTATTTTAAAATTAGAAATATACTGGAAAACCACAAGATAAAAAGTAAAAATAATCCTTTATCTCACATTAAAAAAAAAATCCTTCCATATATAAGAGAGCTTCAAAAAGTTCATGGAAAATGGAATTTAAAGATAATTTTTCCACGAACTTTTTGAAGCCCCCTTGTATATAAGCGTGTAACAGAACAGAGACTCTCTCTCTCTTTCTCTCTCTCTATATATGTATGTATATATATATATGTATGTATGTACGTATACGTCACGGCATACAACCACCACTAGACATATACGCTTTGTTTTTTTCTCATTCCATTCTTCTAGGGGCAGTAAATAGTATGTTATGGTACTGACATATAAGTGAAAATAGGTACAGGCAAATCTGGCTTTATCATGTCTGTTTACAAACTCGGTGTTAAGGAAACCTCCTGAAGCCATTTGTCTAACAACATGTGCTCATTTCTTTTCTCTACATTTGGGTAGTTCTCAATATTTCACTATTTTGAGACTTTTTCATAATGTTATTGCACAGTTAATAGACTAGAGTATAACAAAAACATAATTTTTACATGTACTTGGGTACCAGAAAATTCATGTGATTTGCATTAATTTGATATTCCTTTTATTGGGGTGGCATGGAATTGCATGGAATTATCTTTGAGATATGCCTGTATGTAATAACTTTTGAAACCGGGAAATATTTAAAGTAACATTAATAATTGTTGTTGTTAAGTGCCAACAAGTCAGTTGTGACTCATAGCAGCCCATATAGGAGTGGTTGGTGAGTTTGAAGCACCGACCTTGGTGCTCAAAGTGACCATGTAGTCCAGCATATTATCCTGCAGTACCAGACCAGGACTCATAGAGGGGAAAACACAGTTCATGCATTTTATAATTAACAGTCATTTAGTAGCTAATTAAATTCCGTGATAAATTGAAGCCAAACTCACAATAAAGGAGCTGCTCCTGAAATCCGTATTTTGAAATCAAAGGATTTACTGCTGTAGGCCTTTAATGATAGGAAAAAGGAAAACCAAAGTAAACAAAACCTTCTTACTCATTAATCATACACAATGATAAGTTTTAAAAAAGCAACAAAAAAACAGAAATTAGGATCCATACACTTGATAAAAGAAAATTGAAATTAAACAATTGCACCAAAGTTTAAATCCTTAACCAGAATTCGGCTATACTGAAAACACCTGTGAAGTTATCTATTTTCCCAATCCCAAATCACTTTACTTTGCCATTCCAAATTTTTTTACATCATATTAAGTGATACTGTTCAGCTTTATATTTTTCTTCATTCTGTTCCATCTGGGAGATTCTTTCCTTTCCTTACCTGGGAACGTTCAGACCAATGTTAAATATGATTTCATGTTGAAGAAAACTGAAATTATAAACACATTGAAAGGAATCTGGAAAGACGGACTCTTAAGGTAGGGTGGATGACTGGGAAGGATATGTAAAATGCTCTTTTTTGCATATCAGTATTTTTGATAACTATTTCTTTAAAAAAAACCAGTTTTGTTGTTGTTTTTGTTACTTTGTGTGCCCTGAAGTTGGTTCCTACTCTTATCAATACTGTAAAATGTTTCCAAGAGTGACTGGTGGGTTTGAACTACAGACCTTGAGGTTACCAGTCCAGCCTTTATCCTATGGTGCCACACCAGGGCCCAAAACAACTTTGTTGTTATAAAGTACTGTCAAGCTGATTCCAACTCATAGCAATCCTGAATAGGAGCAGTTAGTGGGTTTGAACTGTCAACTGTGCAGTTAGCAGTCCAGTACTTATCCTACAGCATTCATAAAATGAAAAAAAAAAAAAGATCTCAACCAATTAATAGTTACTAGCTCATCACTAGGAGTCCTGGTGTGGCACAGTGGGTTAATGCGCTAGACCACAAAATCAGTTTGATCCACAGGGTCAGTGGTTCAAGCTCACCAGCCGCTCCTCAGAAACCCTGTACAGGGTCACTATGGATTTGAACAGACTTGATTACACTTAACAACAACACATCACTACACAACTCCTTGTGTGGCGCTGTAGGATCATCACCGGACTATGAATCACATGGTCGATAGTTCAAACCCACCAACTGCTCCTTGGAATTCCTATATAGTCTGCCTCATACTGACCCTGCATAAGGTTTCTGAGGAGCGTCTAGTGAGTTTGAACCACCAACCTTACTGTTCAAACCAACTTTGTGGTCAGGTACTTCTTCAGTAAACTGCCACCGAGTCGGTACTGACTCACAGTAACCTTATATGTTGTTGTTATGATTAAGTGCCATCAACAGGCAGATGTGCCATCAACATATACAGATATCAGAAGAGACTCTGAAACTTGATTTTAAAGAGAAGATAAAGTGAATGGAAGAAACAAAGATGTCAAAGAGCTGAACAGAAAGTTTCAAAGGGTAACTCGAGAAGACAAAGCAAAGAATTATAGTGAAATGTTCAAGCACCTGCAGTTAGCAAATCAAAATGGAAAAACACACAACATTCTTCAAGCTGCAAGAACTGAAGAAAAAATTCAAGCCTCAACTTGCCACACTGAAGAACTCTATGGGCAAAATATTGAATAATGGAGAAAGCATCAAAAGAAGACGGTAGGAATCGACAAAGACACTATACCAAAAAGAAATGGTTGATGTTCAACCATTTCAAGAGGCGGCATATCATCAAGAGCCAATGGTACTGACGGAAGAAGTCCAAGCAGCATCAAAGGCACTGGCGAAAAACAAAGCTCCAGGAACCGACAGAATACAAACTGAAATCTCAACAAACTGATGCAACCCTGAAGGCCAAGAAATTTGGAAGACAACTATCTGCCTAACTGATAGGAAGAGATCCATATTTATGTCTACTGCAAAGACAGATGACCTAACAGAATGAAAAAAGTCATCGAATAATATCATTAATATCACACGGAAGTAAAATTTTGCTGATGATAATTCAAAATGTTTGTAACAGTATATTGACAGGAAGTGCCAGAAATTCATGTCAGATTCAGAAGAGGACATGGAACTAAGGCTATAATTGTGTCATTAGGTGGATCTTGAGTAAAAGCAGAGAATACAAGAAAGATGTTTACTTGTGTTTTACTGAGTATACTGTGTGGATCATGACATACTATAGATAACATTGTGGAAAGTAAGTATTCCAGAACACTTAATTGTGCCCACGAGGAACCTGTACATAGACCAAAGGCAATTGTTAGAACAAGAAGATGCTGAATATTGAGTGCTTTAGGATCAGGAAAGGTTTGCATCAGGGTTGTATCATTTCACCATACTTACTTAGTTTGTGTACTCAGCAAATAATATGAGGCTAGATTTATGAAGAACATGGCATCAGGATTATAGAAAGACTCATTAACAACCTGTGATATGCAGATGATACAATTATGCTTGCTAGAAACAAAGGGGACTTTGTTTATTCTTTGTTTGTAATACTTAGTGATGAAGATCAAAGACTACAGCCTTCATTATGGGTTGTATCTCAACGTAAAGAAAATTCTTACAACTGGAACACTACATACCATCATGGTAAACGTAGAACAGACTGATGATGATAAAGACTTCAATTTGCTTGGATCCAGAATCAACACTCACAGAAGCAACAATCTAGAAATCAAAAGACAGACTGCTGCACAAGACCTCTTTTAAATGTTAAAGAGCAAAGACATCAGTTTGAGGACTAAGGTGAGCCTAACCTCAGTCATGTATTTTCAATTGTCTCATATGCATGTGAAAGTTAGACAATAAGTGTACCATAGAAGAACTGATTCAATTGAGTTATGGTGAGCCTAACCTCAGTCACAGTATTTTCAATTGCCTCACATGCATGTGAAAGTTAGACAATGAATAAGCATACCATTGAAGAATTGATTCAATTGAGTTATGGTGCTGGAGAAGTATATTAAAATTACCAGGACTACCAGAAAAACAAATAAATCTGTCTTGGAAGAAGTGCAACTAGAATGCCCATTAAAACCGAGGATGGCAAGACTTCATGTCTCTGGTACTTTGGACATGTTAAGGACAGATGAGTTCCTGAAGAACATCAAAGCTTGGTAAATTGGAAGATAAGGACGACCCCTGATAAGATGGACTGACACAGTAACTGCCGCAATGGGCTCCAACGGAACAATTGTGAAGACGGCACAGGACCAGCAATGTTTCGTTTTGTTGTGAATAAGGCTGCTTTGAGTTGGAACCTACTTGATGGTACCTAACAACATCAACAATAATTCTCCTACTTGTATGCATATAGTTAAAATATTTTTAAGTATTCCAATTATATCAGTCTCTATTACTGATTACTGGAGTCCTGGTGTGGCGCTGTGGGCTAATGCATCAGACTACAAAGTCGTTTGAACTGCAAGGTCGGTGGTTTAAGCTCACCAGATGCTCCTTGGAAACCCTATACAGGGTCGCTATGGGCCGGAATCGACTCAATGGCCCTTAACAACAACAACATCACTGATTACGGCAAGGAAACTTTAAAAAAGCATGCGAGAGTAGAAATAGCTGTTTGAAGTTAAAATCTCTAAATGTGCAGGTTTTTGACCAGATTATTATTTTTACCAAATCCCTGTGTGAATCTATTTGTTTTACTAATTTTTCAGCTCAATCATAAGAACCACAAAAGCAACCAATGAAGGTACTGTGTGATACTTGCTAAACTCTGTTTATAACTTAAAAACTTTTCTGTTTTTGTTTGTTTTTTTTTCTGTCTGTTCTTTCTGTTCTCTTCTATCAGACCATATTTCTACAAAAAAGTAGCGGGCTCTTTAATGAGCATAGTTTGTTTCTGGATGTATAATTGATTGTGGGTATTCAATTAAGTGTTGAATTGAATTGTACAAAATTCCTAGTCTTTTTTTTTTCCCACTTAGAATGTTATGTAGCATACTATGCCTAGAAATCTTACTCTTTCTGCTCTTCTTTTGGCCTACTTATGATAATAATAAATATAAATTATTTTTGTTTTTTAAATCATACATGCATATATTTTCTCTAATGTAAGGCCAGAAAGATGGAGTGAGTTCCTTAGTTATATGAAGGTACAATGCATTAAATACAACTGTTTGGAAGTCTGTATTCAACCTAGCAACATCTTTTGAGGCTCAGAAAAGTTTTTTTCTCATGGTTTGACCTCCATATGGAGTAACTCAAGGTCACTATGTGTTACAGAAACACTATTTGCTGATCTTGATGAAAATTACATTCATTACAATTAGTCAGTGAAAAAATGATACGTATTTGTCAATAGGAGAAATATATTTTTAGTTTTTCTATTTTACTAATAAATACATACATGGGATGTAAAAAAAAAAGTTTCAGAATGATGTGCTGTGAAAAAGTTAATTTCCCTTCATTTCTGTTACTCAGTCACCCAGTTTCTAGCCCCAAAGTTATTTTTTCTTATGTTTGGAGAGCAAGTTGGTGCAGGCTTTCAGCGAGAACGTGATAAGAAGGGTACTGATGCAGAAAAAGGGGCTGCAGCAGCAATGAGAGATCAGTCACATACGGGAGATTATCAAATAAGTAAATACAACTAGGACAATGAAAGCCAGGTTTCTTCCAGTCAGAGAAAAGAGTCACAAATGTAGAAAAGGAGAAAATTATTATGAAGCTTATGGTGTTCGATTCGAAGTAGAAGTACCAGTGTGAACTCAAAAGGATTTCAATGAACAAAAATACAGAAATACAGAGAAATTACTGCTTTTAGTTGCTGTTGCCTAGATTCAGATTTATGTTGTTGCTGTTGTTGTTAGGTGCCATCCAGTCGGTACAGACTCACAGTGGCCTTAGACAGAGCAGAACGAAATACTGCCTGCTCTTGGACCAACCTCACTA